GAAGGTTGCTGGTTCAAATCCATGGGGAAATTTTAGATTTTAAAATTTTATTTCTTTTTGGGTTAATTTAAATTTCATAGTTAAAAATCTGAAGGTGTGGGTTCAAATCCAGGATGAAATTTTAGATTTTAAAATGTTATTTCTTTTTTGGATGAATTTAAAACTTTATAGTTAATTTGTAACCACTAAAAAAGTGTGAAATTATGCTTAGTCCAATGGGACGGACTGCTGACTCTAAATCTGAAGGTTGCGGGTTCAAATCCAGGTTGGAAATTTTAGATTTTAAAATTCTATTTCTTTTGGGTAAATTGAAACTTTATAGTTAATTTTTAACCACTAAAAAGTGTGAAATTATGCTTAGTCCAATGGTATGGACTGCTGACTGAAATCTGAAGGTTGTGGGTTCAAATCCAGGATGGAAATTATAGATTTTAAAATTTATTTCTTTTGGGTAAATTGAAACTTTATGTTAATTTGTAACCACTAAAAAACTGTGAAATCATGCTTAGTCCAACGGTACGGACTGCTGACTCTAAATCTGAAGGTTGAGGGTTCAAATCTAGGGTGGAAATTTTAGATTTTAAAATTTTTATTTCTTTTTGGGTAAATTGAAACTTTATAGTTAATTTCGTAACCATTAAAAAGTTTAAAATTATGCTTAGTCCAACGGTACGGACTGCTGACTCTAAATCTGAAGGTTGCTGGTTCAAATCCATGGTGGAAATTTTAGATTTTAAAATTTTATTTCTTTTTGGGTAAATTAAAACTTCATAGTTAATTTCGTAACACTAAAAAGTGTCAAATAAGGCTTAGTCCAATGGTATAGACTGCTGACTCTAAATCTGAAGGTTGAAGGTTCAAATCCAGGGGGAATTTTAGATTTTAAAATTCTATGTCTTTGGAGTAAATTTAAACTTATAGTTGATTTTGTAACCACTAAAAAGTGTGAAGTTATGCTTAGTCCAATGGTATGGACTGCTGATCTAAATCTGAAGGTTGCGGGTTCAAATCCAGGGTGGAACTTTTAGATTTTAAAATTTCTATGTCTTTTTGGGTAAATTGAAACTTTAGTTAATTTTTAACCACTAAAAAAGTGTGAAATTATGCCGAGTCCAACAGTATGGACTGCTGACTCTAAATCTGAAGGTTGGGGTTCAAATCCAGGGTGGAATTTTAGATTTTAAAATGTTATTTCTTTTTGGAAAATTTAAACTTTATAGTTAATTTGTAACCACTAAAAAAGTGCGAAATTATGCCTAGTCCAATGGGACGGACTGCTGACTCTAAATCTGAAGGTTGCGGGTTCAAATCCAGGTTGGAAATTTTAGATTTTAAATGCTATGTCTTTTGGGTAAATTGAAACTTTATAGTTATTTTTAACCACTAAAAGTGTGAAATTATGCTTAGTCCAATGGTATGGACTGCTGACTCGAAATCTGAAGGTTGTGGGTTCAAATCCAGGGTGGGAATTTTAGATTTTAAAATTTTATTTCTGTTTGGGTAAAATGAAACTTTATAGTTAATTGCGTAACCACTTAAAAGTGTGAAATTACTTAGTCCAACGGTACGGACTGCTGACTCTAAATCTGAAGGTTGTGGGTTCAAATCCAGGGTGTAAATTTTAGATTTTAAAATGTTATTTCTTTTTGGATAAATTTAAACTTTAAGTTCATTGTAACCACTAAAAAAGTGCGAAATTATGCTTAGTCCAATGGGACGGACTGCTGACTCTAAATCTGAAGGTTGCGGGTTCAAATCCAGGTTGGAAATTTTTAGATTTTAAATTGCTATGTCTTTTTGGGTAAATTGAAACTTTATAGTTATTTTTTAACCACTAAAAGTGTGAAATTATGCTTAGTGCAATGGTATGGACTGCTGACTCGAAATCTGAAGGTTGCGGGTTCAATCCAGGCGGGGATTTTTAGATTTTAAAATTTATTTCTTTTTGGATAAATTGAAACTTTATAGTTATTTCGTAACCGCTAAAAAGTGTCAAATAAGGCTTAGTCCAATGGTATAGACTGCTGACTCGAAATCTGAAGGTTGTGGGTTCAAATCCAGGGTGGAAATTTTAGATTTTAAAATTTTATTTCTTTTTGGGTAAAATGAAACTTTATAGTTAATTACATAACCACTTAAAAGTGTGAAATTATGCTTAGTCCAACGGTACGGACTGCTGACTCTCAATCTGAAGGTTGTGGGTTCAAATCCAGGGTGGAATTTTAGATTTTAAAATTCTATGTCTTTTGGGGTAAATTTAAACTTTATAGTTAATTTTGTAACCACTAAAAAGTGTGAAGTTATGCTTAGTCCAATGGTGTGGACTGCTGATTCTAAATCTGAAGGTTGCGGGTTCAAATCCAGGGTGGAAATTTTAGATTTTAAAATTCTATGTCTTTTTGGGTAAATTGAAAATTTATGGTTAATTTGTAACCGCTAAAAAGTGTCAAATAAGGCTTAGTCCAATGGTATAGACTGCTGACTCTAAATCTGAAGGTTGAGGGTTCAAATCCAGGGTGGAAATTTTAGATTTTAAAATTCTATTTCTTTTTGGATAAATTGAAACTTTATAGTTAATTGCGTAACCACTAAAAGTGTAAAATTATGCTTAGTCCAACGGTACGGACTGCTGACTCTAAATCTGAAGGTTGCTGGTTCAAATCCATGGTGGAAATTTTAGATTTTAAAATTTTATTTCTTTTTGGGTTAATTTAAACTTCATAGTTAAAAATCTGAAGGTTGTGGGTTCAAATCCAGGATGAAATTTTAGATTTTAAAATGTTATTTCTTTTTGGATGAATTTAAACTTTATAGTTAATTTGTAACCACTAAAAAGTGTGAAATTATGCTTAGTCCAATGGGACGGACTGCTGACTCTAAATCTGAAGGTTGCGGGTTCAAATCCAGGTTGGAAATTTTAGATTTTAAAATTCTATGTCTTTTTGGGTAAATTGAAACTTTATAGTTAATTTTTAACCACTAAAAAGTGTGAAATTATGCTTAGTCCAATGGTATGGACTGCTGACTTGAAATCTGAAGGTTGTGGGTTCAAATCCAGGATGGAAATTATAGATTTTAAAATTTTATTTCTTTTTGGGTAAATTGAAACTTTATTGTTAATTTGTAACCACTAAAAACTGTGAAATCATGCTTAGTCCAACGGTACGGACTGCTGACTCTAAATCTGAAGGTTGAGGGTTCAAATCTAGGGTGGAATTTTAGATTTTAAAATTTTATTTCTTTTTGGATAAATTGAAACTTTATAGTTAATTGCGTAACCATTAAAAGTTTAAAATTATGCTTAGTCCAACGATACGGACTGCTGACTCTAAATCTGAAGGTTGCTGGTTCAAATCCATGGTGGAAATGTTAGATTTTAAAATTTTATTTCTTTTTGGGTAAATTTAAACTTCATAGTTAATTTCGTAACCGCTAAAAAGTGTCAAATAAGGCTTAGTCCAATGGTATAGACTGCTGACTCTAAATCTGAAGGTTGAAGGTTCAAATCCAGGGTGGAATTTTTAGATTTTAAAATTCTATGTCTTTTGGAGTAAATTTAAACTTTATAGTTGATTTTGTAACCACTAAAAAGTGTGAAGTTATGCTTAGTCCAATGGTATGGACTGCTGATTCTAAATCTGAAGGTTGCGGTTCAAATCCAGGGTGGAACTTTTAGATTTTAAAATTCTATGTCTTTTTGGGTAAATTGAAACTTTTAGTTAATTTTTAACCACTAAAAAGTGTGAAATTATGCCGAGTCCAACAGTATGGACTGCTGACTCTAAATCTGAAGGTTGTGGGTTCAAATCCAGGGTGGGAATTTTAGATTTTAAAATGTTATTTCTTTTTGGATAAATTTAAACTTTATAGTTAATTTGTAACCACTAAAAAGTGCGAAATTATGCCTAGTCCAATGGGACGGACTGCTGACTCTAAATCTGAAGGTTGCGGGTTCAAATCCAGGTTGGAAATTTTAGATTTTAAATTGCTATGTCTTTTTGGGTAAATTGAAACTTTATAGTTATTTTTTAACCACTAAAAGTGTGAAATTATGCTTAGTGCAATGGTATGGACTGCTGACTCGAAATCGGAAGGTTGTGGGTTCAAATCCAGGGTGGGAATTTTAGATTTTAAAATTTTATTTCTGTTTGGGTAAAATGAAACTTTATAGTTAATTGCGTAACCACTTAAAAGTGTGAAATTATGCTTAGTCCAACGGTACGGACTGCTGACTCTAAATCTGAAGGTTGTGGGTTCAAATCCAGGGTGTAAATTTTAGATTTTAAAATGTTATTTCTTTTTGGATAAATTTAAACTTTAAGTTCATTTGTAACCACTAAAAAGTGCGAAATTATGCTTAGTCCAATGGGACGGACTGCTGACTCTAAATCTGAAGGTTGCGGGTTCAAATCCAGGTTGGAAATTTTAGATTTTAAATTGCTATGTCTTTTTGGGTAAATTGAAACTTTATAGTTATTTTTTAACCACTAAAAGTGTGAAATTATGCTTAGTGCAATGGTATGGACTGCTGACTCGAAATCTGAAGGTTGCGGGTTCAATTCCAGGCGGGGATTTTTTAGATTTTAAAATTTTATTTCTTTTTGGATAAATTGAAACTTTATAGTTAATTTCGTAACCACTAGAAAGTGTGCAATTATGCTTAGTCCAATGGTACGGACTGCTGACTCTAAATCTGAAGGTTGCGGGTTCAAGTGCAGGGTGGAAATTTTAGATTTTAAAATTTTATTTCTTTTGGGGTAAATTTAAACTTGATAGTTAATTTCGAAGTTGTGCTTAATCAAGTAATACGGACTGATGACCCTAAATCTGAACTTCTGAAGGTTGCTGGTTCAAGTCCCAGAGTTGGAGTTTTAGATTTTAAAATTTTATTAATTTTTTAGGTCAATTGAAACTTTATATTTTTTTTCAAGTTTGAAACCAGTCCACACTTCTAGTCTAGCAAAGGCCAAAAAGTAAAAAAGCAAATACTTTTAGCTTGAAGCAAATAGTGAAAGCATTTGCTCTCATTTTTATTCATGCAAATAAAAGTTATGCTTAAAAATACGTAGTAAAAAAAAAAGCAAATGCTAGTTTTTATACATACGACCAAATGTTTCAATGTTAATCATAATTGCATCGTTTATGTTTCAGTAATAGATTTAAAGTGTTTGAGGACCTACGTGGATCTGTTGGGGCCTACAATGACGTCCATTCACTGAGCGGATTCAGGATTGCACATCGAGAACTCAAAAAGATAGGAGAGACCAAGGCCAGTTGCTTTGGTAAAATGTTTCCTTCAGGTAAGACAAACTTCCATGAAAACTCAACTCATTAGTTCAAGTCCCCCCCCCCCCAACTAAGCCCTAAGACAACACTGAGTGTACACTGTACAAAATAAGTCAGATTTGATTAGTTAAATGGCTTTCAGGCTATTAGTTCTCCCACATTTTAATGGTGGTCCCTCATTTGACATGTTGTCTTCAAACGTTCTTTTGTCGAAGCCGTCGGGGCAGAATATTTTTGGCGTGCTGTTGGAAAGAACCAATTTCAAACTTTTGTTCTTGTGAAAATCCTGTTGCGTGACATCACAGCCTGTGTTGTGATGTGAATGAGTTCTACCTGATTGATAAACGTGACCCGACTCAGAGGTGGCATGTCTTGATGACAGTCCCTCGCTTGTCAGTTGGTACAGAATGTCATTTGGTGACAAGTGAACGTCCTTATCCAAAGTCAAGGAGTCATGTCCCACAGTATCTCCGGGGTTATCCACGATGTTGCCGACGGCTCCGAATCCTCCTCAGACGTTATCGTCATGACGACTGTCTGCTCCATGTTCCCAAGGGTGCCCTCCGAGGACGACATCATGGCCATGTGTGAGATGTCCTGTGATTGGTCAGCCAGGTCTGGTACCAAGACTGTAGATTCAGCTGCAGATTCCTCGGGGGCTGATTTGGATAATGCACAGGCCTGAGCGTACAGCCGTAGCTGTGCTAGATGGTGGTGCAGCAGCTGGGTGTGCTCCTCAGACATGTGTTGCAGTAACTCTTGCAAAATGGACTGGTTCTCGCTGTCGTTGGTCAGACGTTTCAAACTGGACGTGTGCATCATGGACAGCTGCTGCTTGAGTGACATGTTTGTGTTGGACAAATACTCAACCTGGAGGGCAAGACGGATGGGCAGAGAAATTATTTGTTTACAGATGGAATTTTAATAGACCAATCCATTAGGCTCTGCCCCATGATGTGTAACCAATCACAACCATGAAAGCGCACACCAAAGTCTGACATTTATGCACTTCATGATGTGTACAGTTGGAGCATGAATGCTTAAGAAGGCACATGTGTTGTTGCCCAGTTATTTAGTGCAACTAGAGTATGAGTGAAACCACGAATCCTCTACACAAGGATAAACGACACATCTGAGCTTGTGTACAAAATGTGTGCAACAATTTGTCTGCATTTATCATAAGCAGCGTCAGCGCATAAAACAACGTAGAACGTGTAGAAAATGTAGAGCAATGACAACAACAGTGCACACCATGATCGCCCACAGCCATGACAGCTGGCATCCTGACAGAAATCTGACCACTGAAAGAACGCAGTCACATTAGTGTGCCTGCATTAGTTCTGATCAAGGTATGTCCCCCCTCCCACTTTTGAGAAGCGATTGACGCCCTTGGTACCTGTTGCATGCAGGGAACAAGATCCAAACTCATTCTTAGACCAAGACCAGATGGAATGCCCACTCACCTTTGTACGAAGCCTTTCTATAGTACCTTTCATTCTGTGCTCTGTCTGGGCCCACGTGGTCCGCTCCTCCTCAAGAGTCTTCTCCAGACTTTCCTTCTCCTGCAGCAGCAGCGACAAGTTGTGCTCTGTGTAGCAAGTCTCGTCCTCCAAATCCTCTTTGCTTCCTTCATCTGGTATTTCAATAAGGACAACTGTTTACGAGAGGGAAAGGTTGAGTAATTATCCTGGATAATGATTCCTGTAATAATGAAAGTCGGTCATCAAAAGGTCACTCCAGGTGTGGGCTACACAAAGAGGGGAAATGATGGGAGGAGTTTATGGAGTAGAAAGGTCGACATATATGTTGCGCTTGAATGGGACAGATGATATGTAGCGGTAAAAACAGGATACAGGCAAGAAAGTCCAAAGTGATGCAGTGTGTCAAGAACATGTAATTCCTTGTAACTGGGTGCAAGCAATCACTCACTTTTTCAAACCGTATTCCTAACATTAGGTGGGCAAGGTGAAGGACAAATGCCAATATTTAATTAATTGTTGAAGTCAGCTCTCAAAATGTACTGCCACCCTGACTTATTAGATTTTTTTGGTTGCTTAGAACCTTCCTGAATCCTCCAAAATTCAATCAACTTAAATAACGCCAATGGCACACCCTTTGCACCTTGTAATTTCAATTTGTAAAATCCACTGTCAATATTGGCCCTCATCCACCCCAACCCCCTAAAAAAATGCTGAACTTTTGGTTGTTGTTTTATTTATTTTATTGACCAAACAAGTGCAGGAGTGAAGACAACTGTATTAAACATGCTGTTGTCTACCCATTCCCTTCTTCCATATGGATTCACGATATATCAATTGAAAACAAAGTGGGGGGGGGGGGTGGGGGGGGGGGGGGAAGAGTTCTTCCTTGCATCAAATGCCTCCCCCTTGGCTTTTTGGTCAGCTTCTTCTAATTATCCTTCACTGCTGGTGGCATTATCCACCTTAACCTCTGCGTAGATGCTGAAGGATTCTTGGAGGGTCAGGGTTAATATTCTTACCATCTTACCTTCCCCATTGGCAGTGCTCTGACTCGGATCATTGATGCAGGCATACTGGTACTCGATCTGCGGCTGCTGCCCATCAGTCTGCTCATAGCCCCGGGGATGATGTGTCTGTCTCCGATGGCTGCTGTGACTGGGGGACTATGAGGTGTGTTACCAGGCTGGTACTGTTGGGTGCTGGGTCAGTGTATGTGGTGAAGATCTGGTTGACATCCTGGGTAAAAATGGTGGAGTGCAGTCGTTAAGGTTGATAAAATGAGACTTAAACCTGTAAGGTAGCAAAAGATTCAATTTACGACACAAACATACAGTGATAAAATTAGGTTCACAATTAATTATTTTAAAAGGCACGAAGTGTTGGCATTTGACATAATCCACCCAAATCCTTGTAGAACTACCACACCTGCTCACAAGGTACATAAATTTCAACTGATTAAATTTATTCCATGTTTTTTTTTTCATGCAGATTGTACAAGGGGACCATTACATCACAGCAACGGCATACTCAGTTGTCTTGAAGCAGCACTGAAACTGTGAAGGTTAAAAATAAGTGCGCTTTCAAACACTTAAACCAAAAAGGTGTGTCTAATCATTCTCAAAAGAATGGATACTTGAGTCAAAACTTTTCGGTAAAAAAACCCCCAGATTTTGTTCAACAAGTTCACTTCATGCTTTTTTGAAACACCCCTCTACAGGGAGTTTATCGAACACTGATATCTGCTAAGAATAACCAGCCCAGGTATCTGTCAATTTCATAAAACTCCCACAAATGCCACTACCTTGTCCTGCTGTCCACTACCTTCAACTTATCTTTATAATTAACCCTAACCCTGCCACATGCAGCACAGTGCGCATCAGTTGGAAAAGTCTGGTGCACTTGGTCTTGTTCCCAAACTCACCCCAAAGTTGATGCCTTTATCCACGTACTTGACCCTGTACGTAGTGCGCCTTGAGGAGAATCTCCTCAGTGAAGAGACTGTCCTGGGAGCAGAATGGACAGTGCAGATGCGGAGCCTTCATCAAGGAGTGGCTACACTCCCTGTCTGTGCATTGTATGGGCGTCCAGTCTGCCTCAGCGCCTTTCGTCTGCACTGATGGATGCGCCTACAGTTACGAAAAAAACAATTGAGAAAAACTGTCAAGTTAACATGTATGATGTCAAAAAAATGTTATAAAATGGCTACGCCAATGAAATCAGTAGAAATCTCATTTTCTACTCAAATCCAAATCTTCACAGCAGTTTTCAAAGTGGCAGTTCATAAAAACCAGGCATAAAACATTTAACAAAGAAACCACTCGCAGATGGGATCTCTTTTGAGGCGGTGGAAGAGGTTTTAGAAGGCTTTCTTGGAGAGCCAACAGTCACCTCGGAAAGAATGTTGCAACCTGACGCTACTTCTGCAGTTGTGTACAAAGTCTATGGAGAGTCAAGAATTTTTTTAAGTATTTCCTAACAAAATTGGAAATGTTTCTCAGTCCCAGATTCATGTCTTATCAATATATCATCATTTTTGCAATTACTGACCTTCATTGAGATGATATACGAAGGAAAAAGCAGCGTTAGGTGGCAACATTCCGTCACCTCTGATGCTGAACCAACACGAGGTAGTGATGTAGAAAAACATTGGCCATTTTTTGCGCACTTAGTACTTGGACCAATTTTTTTCTTGCATAAACTAAATTCTACACAGTTGTGGACTTTAACATTGAAAGAATGACTAATATTAACTACATTGAAAAATAATTTGAACAATATCCAACGTCAAGGAAGCACCAAGAACGTCATCGTCTGCAGATGAGTCAAATTGGCTGCCACGAAAGTCTCCATTGTGTCCTACTTCCTAAACCAATGTGGATTTGTCATCCGACATTGTTATTAAATGCGCGTTTGTTTATATATGAAATAAATGAATTTCTTTCCATTTTGGTAAAAACAACTGCATGCATAATATTTAAAATCATATCAAAATTGAAAATAGGAGGTAAATAAAATAAATCCACAAATATTATAATATACTTTTGTCGAAAGTCTAAGAAGCTTAGTTAAATCCTATGCATGGAAAGAGTTCCGAGAATGTTCTGCTGAAAATCATCCGTGTGCCAATTACATAACATTTTACAAATGTATACAGATTCTCCCAAAATAGAAACATTTGCAATATAACTTTAGTATGCCGTTGCTATATTTTTAAAGTTTAGTCGGACTCCCTATTATCGCAGCATCCCTATTATCGTGGAATGGGAAATTTCTCTTTTTGTGTTGCCTAAACTCCTTCAAGTGGCGATTTTTATCCAGTTCACCAGGCATTAAGGACTTTCTGCCGAGTTGTATAAAAAGGATGATTAAAAAATGTTGTGTCTTTCTAGTTTTGTTTTGACTACTTTAGGTATCTTAATTATTTGTGAGTTGTTGCTTCACCACTGTAGCGAACCAGGTTGGCAGTGAAATGCAGTAATAATAGGTGAGCTACAGTGACGCTGTGTTTAATCAATTTAAATTTTTCAGCAGTCTTTTTTTATTATTCTTTACTTCGTGTGAAACAAATATCAACCTCATTTATATTTCATAGGTAAAAATACTGTCCAAAGTATCTCAACAGTTTTTAGACAAAAGTCTGTTAATAATTATTTCTATTGGCAAAGTTATAGCCACAAAAAACATTTCATTTAGTGTTTACTTATACATATGCACCCGTCACTGGAAACATTTAAGCATATAGTTCCCTCCAGCATTCGAAGTAGAATTCAATATTTTGTGTCGCTCCTGTACGGTGGGGTTCAACACTGCTATATTATTACTTTTTTATTAGTATAGATATAGGCCTAGTTTGATGCTCCCAGGGATTTGTAAAATGTCCAACATAATATTTGCACATAGCCCCTCTCTAGCTCTATTGACGCTCCTTCGACTTTCATTACCTTGGTGAAGAGCAACTCAAACTGGTCAAGGGGAAAAACTGGAAAACTAGTGTTCATCGTAAACAGCTTATTTATTTCCCTTAAAGCCATTTCTCCCTGTGGAAACTTACTTGAGTTGCGTAAACAGCGCCGGCCTAGCCCTCCAGAAAAAAGAAAACATGGGTTTAAAGAGTTTTTAAAAATTCGATTCATTCCCAGCTGCGGCTTCGTCTACTATAAAAATTTCAGAAGATTATGAAATTTCCACACAGCTACCCAGAAAGCGTGAGTTGTCAAATAATAATAGACAAATAAATATTGTTGAGCTTCCGTTATGGAAGACGTATGCGTCTCGTTAAAAAAAAAGGATACCAGTTCAATATATGAAGCTGAAGCAGTAGGGACCTGCGATGGAGGCCGATGTTTCGAAAGAGCTTGCATGCCAATCGAACGACACATGAGGGCAGCATTCAACAACATAAACACGCGACTGTAAATCTGGCGCTATCTTCCGAGTGGCCGAAACCTGTTGCCTGTGTCACTTTCTTGGTCAGTATCAGTAGATAATTTTATCTAACCATTTAATAAATGATAACATTAATTTAGTTGTTTATATTAGCTATTGGTGAAATCTGCATTATTTTATTTAGTGAAACTGAAACGTACTGCAAAAAGTGGCCATATCGGACATGATACTTTGAGTTTGATAGACGTACTGCGTTTATTATTTGTATTCAATAGCGTGGTATCTCATTCGTGAAAAGTTTGAGATGCTTAATTAACAATAACAATTAACATTAAAGGAAAGATTCCCATATCTGGCCATCACTTGCCACCCTGTGCACAAACCCTTTGAGACTGGTCTGAAATTTTTAAGTGTTTTCTCAGTTGAGTTAGCTGGAGTTACCCAGCACCTAGTCCGAGTAACTTGGACCCAACTTATCGCCTTTTTTAACATTTGGACATGGTCTGGCTAGTAAGGTCCAAGCTAATACCAAGACCTAGACAACACAGTCCCAAAAACCAACATTTTCCAACAAAAAACATCAGAAATTTTCCGTTCAATTCTGAAGACCCCCTCTGCCTAGGTTGTCGTCGTTGTGCTCGCGTTCAAAACTGCATGATAATGGCGTCTGACCTCGACCTCATGCAAATGTCGTGACGACACGGCAGATTCCCCTGCGCCGCGCCGACGACTGTTTCCTGATGTAGAGTGCTGTGTAAGTTCGCAGTACGCCTAGGAGTCGTGCTGGCTAGCCAGGCGCATGGCTGGCGCTCTACATCAGGAAACAGTCGTCGGCGCGGCGCAGGGGAATCTGCCGTGCATGCAGTGCATTATGCGCAAGCGCGCCGTCCCGACATTTGCATGAGGTCGAGGTCAGACGCCATTATCATGCAGTTTTGAACGTCAGCACAACAACGACAACCTAGGCAGAGGGGGTCTTCAGAATTGAACGGAAAATTTCCCTTTTTTCTGGATCGTAAGTAAACTTAAGTACAACCATCTTAATCATCTATGTCTACTTGTACCTCAGGTGACATATCTAGTAATTTGGAAGCCGTTTTGAAGGCGAAATCTGATGTTTTTTGTTGGAAAATGTTGGTTTTTGGGACTGTGTTGTCTAGGTCTCGGTATTAGCTTGGACCTTACTATCGCCAGACCATGTCCAAATGTTAAAAAAGGCGATAAGTTGGGTCCAAGTTACTCGGACTACCCAGCACCCAATTGGGTATCATTGGGTTGTCATCTAGATGACAACCCAATGATAAAATTTAGGGCTGGGTAACTCCAGCTACAGTTGAGTTAATACTTCGGCCATCGTGAAGTGCAGGGCCCGGTTCCTATAACTTGGGGAACAAAATCCACTTAAAAATTATTTGACCTACCATAATAGTTTGCAACATTCTCAATAAACAGGTTTGTCATAGATAGAGGGCAGGGTTTTGATTATTTGAGGGAAATTTGGGGGTAAAATGACAATGACGGCGCGGCGACAACATGCGACCCGAAAATTAAGATGGCAATCACCGCGCGATGTTCCGTGAGCATGCAAGGCGCGCTGAATCCCAAGGTACAAACTGCACAGGAAAACCGTGATTTCTACCCCAAGAATCTGTTCAAAATTGTAAAATGGGTGTTATTAGAATTGAGAAAAGGCTGCTTTTGATTGTAAAGGTGAGTTTTGAGCAATAAAAAACATTTTCGATTCTAATTTGATCAAAACAAAACGGGGGCCCTACACTTCACGATTGCCGTAATTTTTCCCTTAAATGACCTATCAGCCATCAGAAAATGATATGTCCTAAAAAGTCAAAATTAGCAGGGACAAATTTTGACCCCTCCCCCTAGATATCCCACTGGTCATGGCTTTCAATAGTATACAACTGCTTTATGTGCAGTTTCTTTATATTTCCAGTGTGTTTTTGGTCCAACGTAATAACACCAAAATGGATGAGAAGCAGGGACCAACTTCTGATGATGTCCCAACTGGGGAGGTAACGTCAACCACAGTTACAGAGGGTGATGTTGTCAAGATGCCAACAGATGTGGCCATCACTATGGATGCTATTCCCAATGAAGATGAGGAGGACAAATCCAAAGGTGACTTTTTATTCTGTTACTTGGTGAAGACGTTTGCTCCTTTGCCAGGTCAGCTACAAAAGTGTAATCCCATTCATGTGATTTTGTCCATTCTTGCTTATTGGAAACTTAATACTTTAACCCAGTGAAATTAATTTTGTTGCAAAATAGTTTTGTTGCTTTCCAGGTAATTTTTTTAAATTGGGGAAATGAGGGTTCAATTTCATTAAAAAAAATGCACCTTTACTTGGTACTTGGTGGTTATCCTGAATACTCCACGTGGAAGTCTAGCAAGGAGGCCTTGGGGAAGTGGAACTAAATTAAATCCTTAAAGGTGTTGTGGTTTGGGGCGTCTGTGGTGTCTCAAGGGAGCTTGTTCCACTTCCGGATAGTTCGGGGTAGGAATAACTGCATATAGATGTCTGTCCTTGACAGCCGGTGCTGGTTTGGGGACTATGGATGATGAGTTAATGTGAACTATGTTGTGTATTATTTTAGTAGGTAAGTAGGTAAGTTGGTTAACTTTCCTTCTCTCTTCCAGTGAAGACCAGCCTAGGGTTGTCAACATGTCGGTCACACTGCTCAGTCTGGAATAATCTCGCATTACGAAACGAGCAGCCCTCATCAGTTGCACTTTTTCCAGGGATGTTATGTTCTTAGCTATGTGAGGGTTCCAAGCAATGCTGCCATATTCTAGGTGTGGTCTGACTACTGCTAAGTACAGCTTTTCTTTGACTGATCTGGATGCAGAATGAAAATTTATTTTGATGAAGCTCAATATACGACTTGCTTTGGAAGTGGCATATGCTGTTTGGTGATTCCAACTTAGGTTATTCTGAATGATTATTCCCAAATATGTGATGTTGGTTTTCTCTACGAGTACGAGGTTGGATCCTAACATGGTGTAGTTAGTTTTGCCGGGGTCCCGCTTCCCGGAGATTCGCATGATGTTACATTTGCTGGAGTTAAATTTCATTCCCCAGGTTTGCGCCCAGTGAGCCAAGTTGTTCAGGTCTTTTTGGAACATCAGTTCATCAGTTGATGAGCAGATCTTCCAATATAACAGGCAGTCGTCAGCGAAAAGGCGAGTTGTGCCAGTCACTGATTTGCTAATGTCATCGATGAAAAGTAAAAACCGATGGGGGCCAAGCACGGTGCCTTGTGGTACGCCACTGTCGACACTTTGCCATTTCAAAGATTTTCCATTTACCGCAACTCATTGTGACCTGTTGGTTAAGAATTCCCTGATCCATCTCTGTGTTTTTCCCCTTATCCCGAAGTAGTGTAATGTTTGGACCAGTTTTTGATGAGAAACTATGTCGAATGCTTTGGAGAAGTCAAGTACTGCCATGTCTGTGGTGATTTGATTATTGTAATTGTAGGAGATGTCATCCAGAGTTGTTACGAGTTGGGATTTGCAGGACAGGCCTTTACGAAAAGCATGTTGGTTTTTGTTCAGGATGTCGTGTTCCTGGAGGTGTTTCATTTATTGGCTATCAATGATGTGCTCTAATAACTTAAAGCAAACAGAGGTCAACGACACAGGTCTGTAGTTTGCCGGGTCTGCACGAGAGCCTTTCTTAAAAATGGGTGTTACGTTGGCTTTCTTCTAGTCAGATGGTAGAGAACCCAGCAGGTCAAGTGATTGTTGGAATATGAATGCGAGTACTGGGCAACTTCATTGGCAGCTAGTTTCAAGTTGAGCGACGTCAGTAACTAGAGGACTCCGCTAACAGACACGGTGATGTTTGTCAAGTCTGGGTAGGGACTCGGTGGTAGAACTGGCTGCACATCGGTGTCATCCCTGGTGAAAACACTACAGAATTGGTCTTGTAGGGTTTCAGCTTTTTCTTGGTCAGATGTGATATTTTTCCTGTTGAGTTTTAGAACCTGAACCCCTGTGTTGTCTTAACGAGTGCTGTTTACGTAGCGCCAACATTTCTGGGGGTTAGCTGTAGATGTAGTTTCTTGTAAATGTGTGCGTTTAGCCCTTCGGATTTCGCTGTTCACTTGCTTTTGGGTCATTCCACCGGGTTGGGAAGCAGTGCATGTTACATCCATATATTTGGTTATATTATTAAAAGTATCAATGCATTCTAAACAATTGCTCAATTTGATATTTGTCTTAAGGTGTTTCAATACTTGAGAAAGTTTGAAATCATTTGAAAGTACTTTGACAAAAATATAAGCAAAAATGTCATATTTGGACGTAACATTGACACCGTGTCAATGTTACATCCAAATATTCTTTGTTTCCCATTTTTTACACGTATGTAAAATATTACCCAAACTGACATTGCATATTTACAACTGGACACCTAAGCACCAAGAAAAGCTTTTGTTTTGGTATAGTCAGGGTTCAAATATAGCAGAAACAATACCTCTAGTGTGGATGTAACGGTGTAAAAATCACGCAATGGAAGTGTGACATTGGGTTTTACACCGTGTCAATGTTACATCCACACAACCAAGCTATCATTTCTGCTCCATTTGATACCTGACTACCGTAACAAAATTTTTTTTTATTGTGTTGCATGTATAGTAAGAAGTTAGCAAAGTGAATTTGTGTGATGTTTCGCAGAAATTTAAAAAAAAGGTACAAATGTCATATTTGGACGTAACACTTACACGGTGTCAATGTTACATCCAAAATGAAATTTTTTTGCTCATATTTTTGGCCAAATACATGTGTACATTGAAATGATTTCAAACTTTCTGCAGTCGTGAAACACCCAACAACAAATATTATGTAGAGCAACTGCTAGCAAGGCATTTATGCTTTTGTTAATATGGTCATATGTCACACATTGTTCCCCAACCCGGTGCAGTGAGCCTTTTGCAAAAGTTTGAATGTAGACTGCTTGTTACTGCCTTCACATAGCTGTGCTCTTTCTTCCTGCAGCAACAGATTAGGACAGTAGTGAGCCATGAGGGTCTAGAATGTCCATGGACTGGTTTTTGTGGTACTAATTCGTTAGTTTTCAGCCTGTCCCTAAAAATACTCCAATTTGCCTCAACTGTTCTGGTTTCTGGAGATGACTGCATGAATTCGGTCTTAAGCTCGAGAACAGATTTTTTTCAGCTTGGATTCATCCACATCATTCCACTTAAAGATGGTCCTAGGGGGCTTGACAGAGCGAGGTGCAGTGATGTTTATGTCAGCTAGCACTGTTGCGTGATCGCTAATTCTGGAGATGCTGTAAACATTACAAACCAGAGTTTTACGTGTGGTGAAGAGCAAATCTAAGATGTTATCTGTTCCTGTAACTGGGTCTCTCCTTGTAGTAAAATTTGCCTTTTGTTCGAGATTGTAGTCATCTGCGATGTTGATAATTTTGGATTGAATACCGTTTGCCGAGAAAGTACATGTACAAGTTCTTGAGTTCCAAAGCATGCCCGGGATGTTGAAGTCTCCTCCAAGAATGATGAATGGGGAGTTTACCTGAGCCTGCAATTTACTCAGACTTCTGTCTAGGTTTTCTAGAGATTCTGGCCTGTAGGAGTCGGGGGTTCTATAATAGCAGAGATGAAGATGTCCTCTCCTTTCGGCTTGAGCGGTAGTTGGCACCAGAGTAATTCACAACCATCTTCAGAAAGTTCAATGGCTGAGAAACCATCCTTAACCAAGATAAAGACACCTCCGCCACGTCTGTCGTTTCCTCTGTCTTTGAACCTTTGTTCAACTGTCAAACTTGTGAATTTCTGATGAATGAATGCAAAGTTTACAAAGCCATTCATATCTTAAAACATTCATTCTTTTATAAAGCCCTGTCGGCACTGGACTTTTTTTGGTCAAACTTACCGAGACTATGGGTACTTTTCCCATTTTAAGTCCAGTGCGGACAGCCTAGGACGTTTTCCTCATAAGCCGTGTCCGCACTGGACTTTTTTTTGGAAGGTTTTACCGAGACGATGGTAAAATGATAAATGGTCAAATGTGACCACTGTCCGCACTTGGACTTTCGACACGGGAAAATTTACCCAGACCGCGTGGGAGAAGTAACCGAGCTGTCACAGTGTCAGTATAATGACTCACCGTACACAGAAAACAATTTGCCGATCACATTTTCAGCCGCCGATACGCACAGTAATATTACACACGCCATTTGCATGCACAACATAATCGTTTACACGATATTATTTCATCTTGACACGCTAAATCTTGACGAAAAGGCCTATAATTCTGACGCATTTGTGATGCACGTCATCGAAGCCATGCTGCGGTACGATGTTCCGTGCGGCAGCAGTGCCATCAGTATTCGTTGGTTCCCATCGCATGCTTACAGAATCGAAGCTATGATTTGGGCCAGGAACCAGTGACTATGGCCTACGTACGGTACCGGACCATGATGTTACCATGCATGACAGTAGCGTATCAGGACGAATTTGGATCGTAGAAAATAACATACATCGGTTGAGAAAGAGAATTTCCGCAAATTAATTCTCAGAACGTGATCTTTCTTCTCTGTGTATGTATTTGTCCGTTGAAATATATATTTTAACGAGATTTTACCGCTCGGACTTGATGATACACCGCAGCGTGTTTCTACAAAATTTTCGGCCACTGCACGTGCAGGTTCGAGCGGTCTCTGTATGCATAACAGGGCGCTCGGGCCGGATGTACGCTTTCCTGAGCCACTTTTACCGACTCGCACTGTCTTCACTGGACTTATCGTCTCGGGAAAAGTGACCTGGTCAGTTTTCCTGGGCGCGTGGGAAGTTTTCCTGGGCAGCAGTTGGCCAGTAAAAGTAACCGCTGGACTCAGGAAAATTAACCGAGAGGAAAACGTCCTAGGCTGTCCGCACTGGACTTAAAATGGGAAAAGTACCCATAGTCTCGGTTAGTTTGACCAAAAAAAGTCCAGTGCGGACAGGGCTAAAGTTACTTTTCCTGAGTCCAGTGGTTACTTTTACTGGCCAACTGGTAAAAGCGGCTGAGGAATGTGACATCCGGCCCTAGTGCTAGTATCATGCATACAGAGACCGCACGATCCCTCACGTGATGTGGCCGAACATTTTGTGGAAACACGTACGCAGCGTTGTGAAGTCGGAGCGGTAAAATCTCATTATAAATATATTTTAACGGAGAATACATTCACAGAAAATATCAAGATCACGTTCTGGGAAATACTTTGCAGTCATTCTTTTTCTCCACCAATGTTTGTTTTGTATTTTCTACGATCCAAATTCGTCCTGTTACGCCGTGTAGTCTGCATGGCACCGTACGTAGGCCGCAGTCCCTGGTTCCAGTCCTACATCATAGCTTTGATTCTGTTATGTTAGCATGCGGTGGGAACCAGCGATTACCAATGGAACTGCTGCCGCATGGCTTCGATGTCGTCCATCACAAATGCGTCAGAAAAGTAGGCATTTTTGTCAAGATTTATCGTTTCAAGATGAAATAACATCGTATGTTACGATTATATTGTGCATTTTAATGGTGTGTGTAATATTATACTGTGCGTATCGGGGGCTGAAAAAAAATGTGATCGGCATTTTATTTCCTGTGCACGTGACTGTGACAGCTCGGTCACTTCTCCCACACGGTCTGGGTAAAATTTCCCGTGTCGAAAGTCCAAGTGCGGACAGTGGTCACATTTGACCATTTCTCATTTTACCATCGTCTTGGTAAAACCTTCCAAAAAAAAAGTCCAGTGCAGACACGGCTTAAGATGGAATTTTGCCTCGGGGTGATGTAAATCAAATTGGGTTTTGCCCTTCACCGACTATCCATTTTATGAGTAGTTAATGCAGTACCCGCTGCTATGTACATCAGATTTGAACCAACCAGCTCGGTGGTTGAGTGGTTAAGATGTCTGCACTAGAAAGCAGGAGGTTGTGGGTTCGAGTCCCACCCGAGTGATTTTTTTCCAACTTTTACTCGGGAGGTACCACACTGAGTATACAGTGTTTATACATCGGTGAAGGGCAAAACCTAATTTGATTCATTCTTTTGTTGATTAATACAAAGCCCATTAAAAAAGGCAAATGAAAATTATCAAAATATTATGAGGCATCAATAAAGTATCAAGTATCAGAAAAGCATACTAGTTCAAATACCAGAATGGTGATAGTACATAGCATTATTTGTGCTTGGCAGTTTTGAATTACGCACACAAAAACAGCAGCTTGTAGAATTTGGTCATTTTTGGGAACCGTCCAAATTAAGATATTTATATTTTTTATCTCTAACTTTACGAAGAGGTTCATATTTTAAAGCATTAATTTTTTTCAGGTACTGTGTACAATTGTTGTACATCTATATTAACAGTATTCAACTTTGGGATGTTTTTTATTCAAAATTTGCAATTCATTGATCTGTTTGTCAGTGTGAACTGATTTTGTTGTGCAGTGTCTCACTTGAAAACACTCATAATTAAACTTACAAATATCTCATTCTTAAAAAAAATCAAAGTAAATTTATTTTCTCTGATTGGAGTTGGTTTTTTAATTTGTTCGTTTTTGTCTATCAGGTCTTGACCCACAAGATAACCATTCTACCAGCACCTCTGACGTACCGGTGACTGGCGCTGCCATAACGGATCCTTATCACTATCGGACACAACAGCACTTCACCTCCCAAGACATTTTGGATTTGTGGTGAGTTTGCTCTCTTAGCATTCAACTCTCGATAATGGTAATACAGTTTGTGCTCTATTAAGAGTTCACGATGTTCTCCATGGTGAAGATTTCTCAGGGTCTTTTTGTAATTTGTATAACAGAATTTAAAGGCAATTGGATGAATTTCACTAAAGCCTGGAAATATCCTAGCCTCATGTCTATATGAAAGTAATGGTAAACTGCATGTAGAAAGTTGTAATCTTTTTTCCAGTGCACTTTTTACATTGCCTGTACACTTTGATAGTTGTTTCTACCGTTGCTGTGATATCGCTTTACATGTACATTGTAGGTATTTCACATTTACAGCTTTGTGATTTTCTGTGTAACTTGTGAAACTAAAATTTATTGCATTGCAGTTTGTTGTTAAAGTATCTGACTGACTGCCTGTGCCTCGTACACAATGAACAAACAGTCACATCAACCTCAACCAAAACACTTTGTAACTTTCCGTCCTTAAACAGCAGTGACACTGAAGTTCCAGCTCATGACATCACTGCATTGCTCATGAATATGGAACTTGGCACTTTATAATTTTTTTTTTTAAAGCCTGGAGCATCGTAACCCTTCATCAACTAAAAACCTCAAAATCTGTTTCAAACGCACTTAAGTATCTGCAATGGAAAATGTAGGGTTATACAGACTATACATGTATAAATGTAGATGTTTGTGCCAATTCATGTTTCACACTGACAAAGTTTAAAAGCAAACTTGCTCATTTAAGGGCACACAAAAACCTCATTCAGGTAACAGTTAACATGTACATAAGTATGCAATTTCGAAATCCATTTGCCCAGACCATCATTTACAAGTATTTCTGAGCCACTTGCATGCAAGTTTTTCATGTGCATGTAGCTGATAGTTGGTGGCAATCTGTACTGAGCCTGCACATTACTAATGACACGGGATGTAATTGACAATTCCCTACTTAATAAAACACATTACAATTCTTGATAATTTGCTGTTAACGTTTCTCGTCACCAATAAGGTGTTTCACGGTAATATGCACCAATCATAAGATGGAATTTTTGCATCAGGGGGGATGAAATCAAATAAGGTTTTGCCCTTCACCGACGTATATACACTGTATACTCAGTGTGTCACCTCCTGAGTGAAAGTTGGAAAAACATCACTCGGGGATGGGACTCACCATCTTTTTCGCAGGGCAAAAAGAACATCCGTTGCTAGACACGGGCACATTTTAGAATGAACGCACGATGACGTGGAAGTGCCAAAGCTTTCCAATGACGATGCATACACAGCAACGCATGTGAAATTGCCCCACGGGCAAGATGGCGTATATTACTGTGAAACACCTACATGTGTAATTGTACCAACTGCATGTAGAGTTTGAAAATTATACGTACAACACTTTATAGCTGTACAATAACTTGGCAAACACTGCTGACTATCTGCAGACTGTACACACTGCTGCCCTTACATGGATTGTTTGCACTCATCGGTTACCAGAGACTGGCTCGGTGCCAGTCAGCCCAGGACATTGTTCCTGAGTACTTCCAAGTGACTGCTGGCTCTCTGCTGGTTCTGGATGTTCACACTGTTCCCCTTGCATGGATGGCTTGCAGTCAGTCAGAGTAGAGCGTTGTTCCTGATGAGAACTTGCAAGCGATGGGGTCCCTGCTGGTTCTGCATGTACATGTACCTCAACATGCACTTGAACATGCTGCTGACTGTGCATGGATGCCTTGCTGCTGCTTTGCCTGGAACATTGTTCTTGACAGCTTTCCAGTGACTGCTGACTCGCTGTGTGTTGTGCATGCCCTTGGCTTGGTGGCTTGCTGCTGCTTGGCCTGGCAGCACGGTGCTCTTGGTCATTTTCTGCCTGTGGATTCACACAAAGCTCAATCTGCTTCCCTGGCTGCGATGGTTGGCTGAGATTCCGTCTTGGGCAGCAACGACAGCACAGTTTGAGGAATGAGAAAGCCTCGACTACAGCTGCACGATAGTCAATATTTGTGGCATTGTAGACGAGGGAATTGATGGAGCTATTGATAAGTAGCAGAACGTCTAAACATATAGTCAGAGTATATAGTTTTTCTGCAAGTTCTAGATATTCAACTTCTTGGGCCGGCCTAGTATAACTGTTTCGTATGATTCTAATAGTTATAGCTGCAATGTCTAGTGACTTCAAAACAAAGAAAACAGCAGTATTTATGATTATCAAACGGAGGACCTTGCCTGCTTGCTTGGGACAGTTTGGCAACAGGGCAGATTGCTTGCGTACTTTCAGTACTACATAGATGTACAAAGCAAGAGTGGCTATTAAACAGACAATGTTGATGATGGAAAGGACCCAGAAGAATATTTCATTGAAGACAGTGTCTGTTATTGGTAAGAATATGAGAATCACAGCAACAATGATTGTTGGCACCCAGAGTCCTGCTGATATCTTTGCTGCTCGAGATTTAGAGGCTTTTTCTTTGTGTGTCAGAGGATTGCGCACTGCAGAGAATCTCTCAGCTGCTATGGTAATCACAAAGAAGTTAGAAACCGTGAGAAACATATAACGGACGCACTGGGCTGCAACTTGCAAGGAGTTTATAGGTTGAATAAATAGTACATATAGTAAGTCACTTAAAAGGAAGAGTAAGTCAGCCATGGCCAGATTGGATAAGTAGATGTTGATGATTGTACGCATGGATTTCACTCGAATGACTGTGAAGAGAAAGACTATGTTGAGGAGGAGGCCGATTGGTGCAATGATTTCAATACTTAACCATTTTATTTGAAGAAGTCCGTGTATACTCTCGTCAAAGTTGTCACGAAGCTTGTCAATGTCACTTTCCCTCCCAGTTGATGGAGTGGAGCTGTTTTGGTAGTCATCACCCATAGTTCATTTACAGTGTTGTATTGATCGTCATGTCGAACACTTTGTGGAAGATCACTCCTATTTTGCCTTTTTTAACAGAGAATGTACACTGTACTTGTGTAAGACCATGAGAAATTTTCATAATTGTTCGCATTTGTAATCTTTTTTGGTTTTGTTTTGACAGCAGTGTTACAAAAATAATTAACACAATTTCATAATTGACATTGGCATGATAGTTGCCAGTTTTGTTTAAGTTTGTGTATACATCCTTTTAGTTGTGTCTTTCCCTCCCATACGTTGCATACAGATGTGCGCCTTGACATGATTGATAACTGGCAATGATGAATTGGAGTGTAGAAACAACATTGATCAGTTTGTGAATTATTGTGTTGAAAATCACTTAATTATCAATATGCAAAAAACTAAAGAAATGGTTTTTAATTTTCAAAAGAACAAACAAACTATGCAACCCATTAAACTGAACGATGAGTCTGTGGAAGTAGTAGATGACAAATACCTTGGCACTGTGGTTGATAGTCAGCTAAACTGGAATTCTAACACCACAAAAGTTTACAAAAAAGCCAATCAACGGTTCCACTTTGTTAGGAAACTGAAATCTTTTCATGCAAATACCAGGGTTTTAAAACTGTTTTACCAGAGTACAATCCAATCAGTTCTAAGTTTCTGTTCTATCGCTTGGTTTAACTCTCTTACTATCGTTAGAAACTAGAACGTATTGTGAAACATGCTGGCAGGATTATTGGTGATGATACTGAAGGTCTTCAGAAGTTGGTACAAAATGGTCTCTCGTTTAAAGGGAATATACATCATTTGCTTTTGCTGTAATTTTCAGAAATGGATGGAATTGGGGGGTTGGAAATATATAGCAAATATAGTTAAACTGACTTTTTGAGGTTTTTGGTTCGAAAATGCTATAAAAACCAAGAAAAACAATCATTTTCCTGTAGTCTGGTTCCCTGACTCCATATAAAAAGAAACAGAGCAGTCTACATACATTGGGGAATTGTAAGGTCAGGGAACCAGTCTAGCTGGCTCGTACCCGTTCATATATAGGTTTGTAATCGATTGCAAACTAGTGCGATGGTCAATTGGGGCCAGTATTTGAAAAAAACCCAGTTTTTTCCAACGCTGATCGACCGATCAGCGTTTGAAATTGATACAAAAATACCACTTTTCTTGAAAATGACAGTATACCAGGTGCCATGATTTTACAGGATGCTTTACACTGTCATTCACTAACAGTCCAGCAAGGTATTTCAAAATGATTTGGTAGTTTTATTTTTTGATGTTTGCAAATGTTGTATTTTCCCTTTAAAGCTAGAGTCCATCATTTGCAGCCATCCGAAAAGTAACTGGCGTAATTATTGTTGAAAAACAAACTTGGTTGAAAGATAGTAAGGGGACTAAACTCCCTGTGAAATTATTCTATCTGGCAAGCTGTCATTTTGAAGTAATCAACGAAAGAAGGCATTTCCAACGGTGATTCTTAAGAAGCACCGTAGGAAAATTTAAATTAGTAGTTCGTTTTGTTATTCAGCGCAGCGCGCACAAGTATTGGAACGACGCACACGCGCGCGCGGTTGTTATAATTCGTCGGATCAGTGCGCGACGTCGCGTATAGCTGCAATTCAAAACAATTCAAAACATGATTCAGTAACTTTTGATTTGAAATTGAGATCTTAGAATGCTGTTTTTCTCGGAATGTACAGCTGAAGCTAATTTGAAACTTCATCAGGTTAGTTGTTCAGTACCCTTCTTTAGATTTTGAGCACTTTTGTTGCTTCAAACGAACAAAATGCACAAATTACAAATGATGGACTATACCTTTAAGTTCAATTGCATGTTGTCTGACAATACTCGCCCTCTTAACCCATTGATTGTCACAAATATATCGGGTAGAATTCGTCATAAACGAAGAGGTTTGAAAATTCTGTTTTACCCAATGCCATAGGCCCTATACAATTTTAACTGTACGTTTAGCAGATAAATGAGTTTTGTGCCCCGTATGGCCCCTGGTTTTCTATTTCGACCTGGCTTTTAGCCAAGATCGCTTTTAGTGTACTGTTTAGTTGGTGGGGGGAATGCTACTGTTCAGAGTGTAGCATGTAGCTTTGAGCTGTTCTATGATATG